GGACTTATCCAGTATGAAATCACAGCGGTTAGAATTGGGCAAATATTTCAAAATATGCAAGGGTAAATTGAAATAAAGACCTTCCTGTGATGTTAAAATTTAGAAAAGGACCCCTTTCTGACCTATATAGAAAGGGCCATATGAGTCACTTATGGTTACTCCCACAGCTGTCAAGGTAGCTGAAGCTCAACTACCACCACTCTAGAGTAAAACAATTACACGGATTCCGATTCCAGGAGACAACACACTCAAAGCCCTGCTCTCACCACACTGGAAGCTGGTGAGTCTACACACAGCTGAAGAATGAGAACTACAATCTAGATGTGGATTCATATTGTGTCAAACTGTTATGAGCTATTATGCTTCTAAATTAAGAATTTGTGAGCCTACAGATGATAAAAATATGTGACTTTTATGTGCTCTGGGGATCCTAATACCCAACTTGTCTAAGAGATGCCTTTACAAATTGCTATGACCCCTTAGCTAAAAATTTAAGTAAAATGATGAATCAAGGATTTGATTCTACCTAAAATCAGTGGGTGTAAGACCTAACTGAACTAAAGTGAGTCCATGTTGTATGAGTAATGGCCCCAGAGGCCTTGTGTACCACTCCCCTTTGTAGTTGCACCCCTACCTTTGCTTAGGAACGTAAGACTGCAGAACTTTGTAATCTAAATCCTAGTCTCCACTGTGATTAATGTGAATTAACAGGTGAACATTTAGTAGTTCTGGGTAAATAGATAAAGACTGTTTCACTCTTTGTCTGCCCAGAAGGAATGTTTTGAAAACCTTGGGACATTCTGTAAGCATCTTGAGTAGACCCCCACCTTGCCTATCCCCTTATAAAAAGGACCTCAGCCCCTGAGCTGGTGCCTCCCTGAGCTGCTTGGCTCCAGGAGTGCCGTCTGGCCAGACTAGTAAAGGTCTGTTCCCTTTCCAATGTGTCTGGTATGTTCCTTCCTGGGTGAATCTTGTGGCAATCGAGCTCCTTGGAGCGGTAAAGTCAAGCTCTTTGGAGTGGTAGAATCGAGCTCTTTGGAGGTAAGTAAGGCCCTTGGTCTTACATTTTGAAAGCCCTCAGTAGCTGTTGAGCTTCTTGGAGTGGTAGTAAGGCCTTAGGTCTTACAGTGGGGACTTAGCAGGCTCCCCAAGCACCAGCATTTATCTGAGCTGTGGGATTAGGACATGGCACCTGGAGACCTGTGGACAGTGGGTAACCTCGATGTGCTGGCGTGGAGGCCTGCCTCACCCAGAGGTCTCAAACAGGGCTGTCGGGTAAGATCCCTCCCGGTCTGTACACAACAGGACACTCTCAAATGGTTGTGGTCCCCTTGGTGGCAGTTTGGGGTTGAAAAAGGACCCCGAATGCACTGCAGTGAAAGCCATTGCTCTCTCACCAGAAAAATGCACATTCACACATTTTCCCACATGTGCATTCCTTTCTTTAACCCAGAAAACAATCCACTGAACACCAGGATTCAAAGCCCTGCTCTGCATTTTCCAAAGCAGGATGGTTACCCTGCTGGTGGTGCCCTAATGAATACGCAAGGTTAAACATTATTTTAATAGTTGAATATTTAAAACCTGTGATTTCCCTGGACTTATCATTTAGGATGAATAAGGGGTAAAATGAAAAGTGAGTCAATCTAAAGATAAATATTAAATATAGTAGTTCAGGCCAGGGATTTAGCCCAGTGGCTCTGCCACCTGCCTTGCAAGCGCCGGGACCCGGGTTCAATCCCTGGTACCTAAATAAATAAAATAGTTCACGTGAACTGCCAATCAGAGAGGTGCAGTGGTGATTCATACGTGACCAGAGTCTGGGAAACACAGTACTTAGGGCCTTGGAAGAAGGCTTAGACCCAACTTACTCTCCTTGTTTTTCTCATTATTTGGCACCAGGGATTCAACTTGGGACTTTGCGCTTATGGAGCAGGTGGTGGAACCACTTGAACTAAATCCCTGGCCCTCTCATTATTTTTGAAAAATGCTGGCTGCATTCACGTCCACCGTTGGAAGAACACTGCCCTTACTGCTTGGGGTGAGAAGCTAGATCCGCTGTCCCTTCAGGCCCAGGGAGATGATAAGAGGGCTTGGCTGCGACACCTTCACTCGCTTGGTGGACAGCTTAGCTCCAGGCCACAGTCACAGCAGCACTCACGTCCTCCACAGTGTGCTCACACAAACAAGTTTGACTTGTTCTGTGTGTGGGCCTTTGGGCGAGAGTGTTGTGTGTGTGTGTGTGTGTGTGTGTGTGAGTACACAGAGGGGGTGCGGCACAGTTGGGGACTGGGGGACAGGGGAAGCAAACAGAGCAGACCTTTTCCCCCGAGAGAGACCAGGATGCTCCTATTCTGGGCCTGAGCTAGGGGAAGAGGGGTCCTTGGGGGTGCCACTCAGAACCAGCCCCAAGCCACCCAGTGGGCCCAGGATACCCCACTCCATGCCAGGAGTGGGGCTGTCACCCCACCTGGTCCAGTGTGAGGGGAGGGAGGGGGCGCAGGCAGAGTGACGGCTGCTGCGGGGCCTGGCTGGAGAAGCACTCATACGTGTGCTGTCTCCACCCCGCCTCTCCCTGAAGGGATACCCAACCCAGATTTCCTTGACTGCCCTCTCCCCTAATTTAAAGAGAACCTTGTCCTGGTTCCCAGAGAACTCTGTTGACAGAAGCTGCCAGACAACTGGTGTGTGGGACAACTGCGGCAACCGGTCAAGTTTGGGTTACAAGTCTGCAGGTACACTGTTAGTTTTCAGCCTTCCTTCTACTTTTTTTTTTTTTTTTTGGCTTGTTTTGGTTTTGTGAATCTTGATTTGTAGTTCAGGCTGACCTTGGACTGACTACATAGTCCAGGCTGGCAGTGAACTCACAGAGATCCTCCTGCCTCAGACTCCGGGGCACTGAGATTACAGGTGTGTACCACCCACACCTGGCTAGTTTGTAGTTTTCTACACATCTTCAGTTTGGAGCCCAGAAATAAGGATGCCTACAACTGACCACATTGGGATCTGTTAAGTGACAGGGGCACACAGGGGTAGGGAGCAAATGTGGACTCAGTCTCCTCTTGAGTCTTCCCTGAGTGGTAGGCAAGGAAAGCATAGGAAAACAAACCCTGGTTCTGGGTGGTGGTAGAGCTGGGAGGTGGGGCCATCTATAGGGCAGTTGGCCAGGAGTGACATTCAGCACCATACAGAGGACAGACCACACCCCAAGGCTCACGTCAACAGGACCCAGGTACCGGGCAGGTCAGGCCCCAGAGCCAACACAAGGCCGGCAGTGTGCAGCATTCTGAGCCCAGCTTCTTATTCTCTGCACCCAGTTCTCTTATCTTTGACCTTCCTACCGCTTCAGCAGGACCTGACACCGAATGTCAACTCCCGAGGTGAAGCTGGGCTTCCACCGCAGACTGCCAGATCCATCATGCACTCTCCGAGTCCCTCCCTTGCCTTGGTCACAGCCACATGTCCAGCTCTGCACTGGCCTTTACCTGCTGTCCTCCCATCCGCGTGGGCTCCCTCCGGCCCACCTGGCACTGTGGCCAGCACATCCGCGCAAAGACACAAATTGGACCATACCACACCCCTCCTCCGATCCTCGGCTTCCCATCACCGCATCAAACCCAAACCCGACCACGGCCACGAGGCCCTTTGTTACCCGGCCACAGCTGACCCCTGGTGCCTTCCGCAGCCCTCTCCTTGCCCACCAGCAAGGTCACTTTGGTTTAATTTCTGCCTCTTAGCAGTGCCAAGCTCTTCCCCTTCGGATGCTTTGCACATGCCAGTCCCTGTCTGGACCACTCCACACCTTAGCCATCACTTGGCACTGGGCAGAAATGTTGTTTTCTCAGAAGAGCTCTCCCCAGCCGATCCCCTCCAGATCCACACTGATGGCATTGAGTAATTAAATAATTGCCATGGGATTCGGATGGATGTTTCCTCTGGTTCCTCATTAGCCTCTTGGCCCAGCAGGAACCAAGTAAGTCACTGAAGAAATGATGCTGAATCAGGCGAGATGGCCTGGCAGGGACCACCGTGGTAACTTCACCCGAAGATCTAAAAGCACTTGGCAGCAAGAGCGAGCTGAGGAAACACCTGTTGGCTTGTGACCCCCCCCACTGTGACCCCACTGTCCCAAGTCCTGCTTGGGGGACAGAGCCCACCTGCAGCCCCGTGGGGGAGACCTTTGTCCCCTGCCCGGGACCCTTGGGAAGGACACGGTGCTGACGGAGCCATCACATGCATTTGGCTTTTCCACCGACTAGCTGTTTGACCAGAGACATTTACAGAGCCTCTCCGAACCTCAGCTTGCACACCCTAAACTGGGGTGACAAAACCCACCCCAGGATCTGTTGAAGATTTATATGCCACAGTGAGCCTGCCCTGATAATAAACGGCACGTGGCTTGGCATAGTCTGGGTTCAAAGTGCTGCTCCCCTTTCCTGTGCAAAAGTGGCAAACGCCTTACATTTCACTCTTCGACACCCACGACATCGGGTAGGACAAGGCATAAAGGGAAGTCTGGAGGATTGGAGGACACAGTGCACTCTGTGACACTGCCCAGCCTCTCCCCTCACCCAGGCTGGCCCAGGAAACCCAAGCTAGCTGAGCAAGGCTTCCGGGGAGGACGCAGGACAAGGAGGGATGGGAAGGGAGGACAGGTGAGCCCGGGACCCACTATTCAAACAGAAACTTAACTAGTTGCAAAGAGGGAGAGGTTGATAAGGGAAGAGGAAGAAAAAAACTGGGACTGTGGGAGGCTGGGGCCAGAAACGGGTATCAAAGTGGTCAGAGGACGCAGGGCCTGCAGAAGGAAGGGAGTCGCAGGAGGTGGAGAAACTGGAGAACAGAGGGGAGTCAAGGGGCTGCTCCCTGGAGCCAAGAGAAGGAAGCGCAGCGAGGGGAGGGCGGAGGCTGTCGCCTGGCCTCCGCCTGAGAGCAGGTGATCAGGGATCGCCCGGGAGGAGGAGTGGGGGACGGGGCTGCGTGTGGCCAGCTCTGCCCACCTGCGGGTCGCCTCGCAGCTCTCCCACGTAGTACTGCTCCAGCCAGCGGCGTGCGTTGGCCGAGTGCCGGTGCGGGGGTCC